ATAAAATTCTATTTTATTTGTTACATTTTACATTAATCTCGATTTGTAAAATTTTTCACGGTAACAACTTATAAAAAAGTAATAAGAAATACCATCATAATTCTCGGTATCATGTCATTGTTTATTTTATATATAAGTAGTAAATTTTCTCTCAAAAAATTTATAATGTTTTTATTTAGACTTATGATATTGTAGATACTTTTATATAATATTTTATTATGTCATATAAAAAAATTCATTTAAACATGTTTGGTTTACAACCGAGTTTAGAAAACATCTTTCATACAAATGTAAAATTTAAATATTTTAAACATGTTTTCTTTCCAAAATAGTTTAAAAAAATAGTAGGTGACTTCACACCTTTTAATAACAATACATAACCTTTTGCATACTTTTGCATGTTTTTAATATTTTAAACAGACAAACTTTATGTTCTCTTATACAAGTTAATTTTATATTGTTGATAATAAACTGATATACGACGGTAATTATATCACATGTTAACCCAACATCTTTAATTTATATATATTTTTGCTCTTATAAAATAGGATAATGGTTCAACACCACTTGAACTCGAGACCTATTTATAATTATTAAACTGATATACGATGGTAAATTATATCACATATTAACCCCACATATTTAATTTATATATATTTTTTTGCTCTTTTTAAAATAGGATAATGGTTCCCACCACTCGAACTCGAGACCTATTTATAATTATATTTAATCTATATATATAATAAGATTTACCATTTTTTAAAAATAGCAAGTCAAATTTTTGGTCAAATTCAGACACATTAATTACTTACTATTAATGGAAATATTTTTTTAATTGTTAATTTAATAACCCTTTAATTACGGACAACATTAATTGATTGCATATCATAGTTTGTTAATTTTTTAAACCATTTACCAAAAAAAGGGCGACTTCGTTAAGATAAGATAAGATAAATTTTTTTGGAAGCCCACAAAATCCCAGATTGACACTGTTTGTTTTTTTAAAATAATTCAAATCTGTTATGAGATCATTTTTTTGGATACCATGACAACAACGAAGTCTCCTATTACTTAGGAATAGATTTGTTAATCATAAAATTTAAAAAAGTAAGAGATTCGATGCACTAAATCTCTAAATGATATGTTTATTGTGATTTGTAATAGCTATCTTTGTGGAACTAATTTACAAAACTATCCAATTTCTTATTTTAAAATATAACTTTTTCTTTTATTTCTTTTAATCAAATCATATTTCCCCTTAAAACCAGCCAATCAGAAAGTTGAATATACACCCTATAAATATTGAATATGCTAAACTGATATTTAACACTCTACACGCCTCTATAAATTGAAATTTCAAAAAAAATATTGCAATCATCATTATATAAAAAGAATAATCTTTTTTAAAAAAGCGGGTCAACTACCTGGTCAAATCTCTCTCATCATTAATTACTTTATATTAGTAACATATTATTTCTTTGTGCCTCAAGTCACGCGTACAACATTAAGACATTTTTTTGAACTTTCTTTTAAATTAATATCATTAATTGTTGTAAGACAATTAGGTGAAATCGATTTTTAAATGTCTTACCACAATTATCGATTTAGATAACTCCTCATGTTGTGGTACATAAAAAAAATTATGTACCAGAATTTTTTTTTTCTTAAAAAGTTAATTCGCTCTAAAGTGTAATTGCTAATATAAATCTTGACCTACAGTCAGAATTTATTTTAAAAAGCTAATTTTCACATATCTAAATACTAATATTTTTTCAAACATTATTAACATTCATAATATTGTTGATATTTCAAACATTATTTGGACAAAGATTAAGGAGTTATATATAATATATATACATATATATATATATACACACATATATGGAGGTTAAATTTAAGTATTTTTAGACATGTTTCCTTAAAAAATAGTTTAGATAGTGACTTCAAATATTTTTCAAGGATAATATAGAATATTTTATACACTTTTGTATACTATGTAATTATATATGTCTTAAATATATATATATATATATATATTAAAGACATCTTTAATATATATATATATATATATATATATATATATATATATATATATATATATAACGAGAATAAGATTTATCACATATTTCTCCTCCAAAAATATTAAATGCACATAATAAAAAAGTTAATAGAAAAAAAAAATATAGATTTAAATATTGTCTTCAATTTTTGTATATTATCATTTATAT